TAAATAAATAAATAAATAAATAAATAAATAAATAAATAAATAAAACAACAACAAAATATTATCTCGGTGCGGTCGTATTTGAACCTAAGTTTATGACCAAGAAAAATTCGAAAAAAAATCGATCCCACTTTGCCATACCCCCGAGACATCCGCAGAGCTGAGGCGGCGTATGGACTTCGGACCTGACGGCGATTAAATCCTTCTGCCCTTGGGTGTACGAATTACGCAAGAAAATGTTCTAGCCGAAGCATCAGGGGAGAGACCAGCCGGCCCCAAGACCATATCGGCTAATCCCTTGCATCTCTGCCACGCACGGAATCGGTTAAAAAAATAATGTTAAAAAGTCTAGTCTATCTGGTGCATTGTTTTCCTGGCTGTTGTAATGCTAATTTCAAGGAACCGTGGACCAGTGGAAAAAACTTGGGCATCAAAAGTGCTGAGTCAAGCCCGTCTGGGGAGGTTCAGGGTTTGGATGGGTGACCTAAACATTATACCTGCTCAAGTAGGCATACGAACAGAGCGTTTGGTGTAGAGAAAAATCACTCAAAGTTTCTCTACCAAATTAACAATATTTTAAATCGTTTAGGACTCGTTTTAATTCTTTTTTTTTTTTTTTAATATATTATTATTCTTTTTTTTAAATTAAAAATTATTTAAATAATTCGTTTTAAAGCGCGCGTGAAATGCATATAGTGCAGCAACTCAATTAAACTCTTGTGAGCCCCTTGAGCGCTAGTCCTTTAGACCTCCTCTCCCTAGGGTTAAAAACCCCTTCCATATTAGATTGTCTTGTACCTACCTAAGCCCAGGATCATTCTTGATAAGCTGTGCTTTCCTCTTTATAGCCTCGTGTAGTGGTTTGCCGATCTTGAAGCCATTAGTTGCCAGATCGATAGCAGGTTGAATAAGGTCCTTCCAGGGGAGCTTCCCAAACCGGTGCCATGCAGTGTACATTCCTTTGACTTCACCAGGGACGCCGGCAGCTAACGCCCCTATAGTAAAACAGGAGATATGCATGGTCAGTGAACGAACCAAGGACAGCATAATCATTTCGAAAAAAAGAGAACAAACAAACAAAAACGAAACGAAAAGCTTTAGGTCGCGTTGACAGTGGACTTGGAGCTGTCTTCGTGCGCGATAACAAAATAGTTCAGCTAAATCTGGCATTGAATCACTGCTTTTGTATAGAGCGCGAGTGGGAACTGAGCATTATGGCATTTGTAGCCGTGCAGTAGCCTTAGTTGTAACTACTCTTTGTGGGCGAATGAATTAAAGGAAGATAACGGCACGTAGTACCGAGTAAGTGTTGTAAGTCTGTACTGTACGTTTCCTACTCATGCGATAATCATTCTTATGGGAAGTCATTTCATTCATAGTTACTACACTCGACGAAATAATGGATTTGGTCATCATATGTCTACCTGGCAAATGTTGAGCAATGCCGTACCGTGTACGTTGGAAGTCAGTGCCGTATGTTTCCTACTTAAGATACCCGCTCTATTTAAAGTGTATATCAAGGGAAAAAATTACTTATATTTGAACAGTGTAGTAGTATGGTTGCAATATTTGTGGACTTCTCTTTTCAGAGATACAAACATTTGAAATATCAATATGCAAATGAGATGACGTAAATTCAAAAATGTGTTACATTTTGCAGTCTAATTTACGACAAGTGTTCTGAAGTGTAATAACCTAAAAGTGTACAAAGTCATATATTTCAGTCATAAGGATGATTTGCAAATGAAAAAACAGCATTACTTTCCACAACAGCATTTTCGTATAATAAATTAGTCTTGAATTTACCTCATCTCATTTGCATATTGATATTTCAAATGTTTATATCTCYTAAAAGARAATTYTACATACATAAATACTGCAACAATACTATTACACTATTCACATATAAGTGATTTTGAAAGAAAAATAATTTCCTTGATATACACTTTAAGTTGTTCACATGACTCACCGTTTATCGCCTTTTCACTTTGATTGACGTACATGTTAGTAGTTGCAGCCGCGGGCGCAACCTCACGAAAGTCAATCACGTGAGCCTGTTTCTTTCCTTTCTCATAGACTAACATGAAGCCACCGCCTCCGATCCCACTAGAATGCATGTTACGAAGTCCAATGCAAAACATAGTGGCTACCGCAGAATCGACTGCGGATCCACCCTTACGAAGAAAATCCCGACCAACCTCCGAACAATCGCCGGAATCACTCGCGACGACTGCATGCTCATAAGGCCCTTCATGATTGGCTGGTTTCTCGTCACTAGTTTTCTCGTCCTTGCTCTTGGCCAATCCTAGACCTAGACCTAGACCTAGTGCAATGGCAATGAGCACAACGATGACGACCACTGCGATGATGATGATGTTACGACGTTTAAGCCTATAATACACACGCAGATAGGAATTTAAGGCCCCGTCCACACGTATCCGAAAATTTTTGTATCCGCAAGAAAATATTCGCGTCCACACGCAGCGTATTCGAATCGTTTTCGAACCGTTTTCACTGTCCACACGTATCTGGAAATTGTTTGATCCGCCCTGATGCACGCTAGTGCCTAGCCCCTTTGACGGATAGTTTTTCTTATTGAGCATGCTCAAAAACGTGTTTACGTTATCGTATTCGAAAATTTGCGGATACGACCGTCCACACGTATCCGTATTCTGAGCGTATTCGAAAATTTCCACTCTGGAGACCGTTTTCGAAAATTTTCGGATACGGATACAAAAATTTCCGGACGCGTGTGGAACGCCTCCGTATCCGAAAAARAAAAAAAAAATTCCGGATACAAAAATTTGCGGTTACGTGTGGGCGGGGGCGCCTAAAGGTTAGGCCCAGTATATAGTGAAGAAATAAAAAGTGTGCGAGCGTGCTGCGGTGCTGTGTGCACTCATAAACTTGCGCTCCCAACCATGCAATCAAAACGCAAGATTTATAACAGTAGTTCAGTTTATAATGCTATACAAAGAACTGACCCTAAACGGGAAGTTTTGCATCTAAGCGTGACCAGGCTAATATCAAACATGACAGCATAGCTAAAAATGTTTCAGCATAAGAGAAAATGTACAAGTTTCTCTTCATTATACGTGCTAGTACTTTTATTTTAGCTTCTGTTGCGTTCAAAAAATCTCCATTCTTTTCCCCACGTATGTTTTATTTGTGTTCTAACCGTTACTTGTGGGTTATTAGGGACGGCTTAAGATTCGCAAAATCTAAGAAGGCGACGTCAACTGCAACCGAATAAGGTCACTTTGGGGTTTCGCGCCTTCAAAGACTGTCTTCCGTTTGGATGAGTTGACTTTAGCTTACTGACAATGTTTTGAATGAACTCTCCAACAAATAGAACCAACGAAGATTGAATATTCACACAGTTCCGGTTAACTTCGCCATAGCAGATTTTGCAAATATGAGTCCTCATAGTCTTTTTTTAGAGAGATATCTAATTTACAAGAAAGAAAAATACGAAAAACCTCTGGGACCAGGGTATTAAGATACCAAAACTCGGTTGAGAACACATCAAAAGATATATGATGGACTAGGCTTTGAATAAACATACTAAAAGTAGATGGCTACCAGAACTTACCCCATTTTGAGTGCTCAGTAGAAACCAGACAGGAATTACACTTAAGTTCTTAACGTCTGCTTATGTAACACTCGCTAGCCGTGACAGGCTTTAACGTGCTGAAGGCAAAGCTACATACATACTAATCGAATTTCAACGGTCTTTAGTATTGTAGCGACGTCCTGTTGCCTGTTGTGGATTGAACGTGTCCTTCGTGACTTAAGAATGAAATGCGTATTCAAATTTAACAAATGACGAAAGACAGCATTATAAAAACCACTGGAGGTTAACGAATATATATTTTAATATTATAGTTTGGAAGGGGATGGGGATTCCAGATGTCAGATCTGAGGCTCCTTATCGGTTAAATTTCAGGATTTTTGTTGGTTGAGTCTTGTCAGAGATGAAGAAATAAAAAACGCGTGCACGTGCTTTATAACGGCACACAGCACAGCAAGTTTTTATACAGTCAATTCAAAAAACGTTGTCGTCGACCGGTTCAAGCCTACGCGACTGGACCGAAAGGAATATGGGTAAAAATCACTGAAGCGGTTAAATATTCGTTCTGAATTAATTGTTCCCGCTAGTAATAAAGATAATAATGGCGAGAAACAATCCATCAAATGCATGTCTTTGGGTTTAGGGAAAGCAAAACAAAGTAGTTATGATTCAGTTCACAATTTCGAAAATATGAAGGCATTAAAAAAACGTCTCCTTCAACACTTCCCGCTCGCCTACGAAGGTTCGTGCTGTAAACCAGGCATAACTAGTCAGATAAAATTATGGAGTCAACTCGGCTTCAATGATTGCTACCCAGAGTTCCTTTCGGTCCAGTCGCGTAGGCTTGAGCCGGTCGACGACAACATTTTTTGAATTGACTGTATACAAATCACAATAACCGTTATTTAAGATAGGAATGACGCAACGGGAAGTGCGTGCGCGTCAAGCCAATCAGAATGCGACATTCACAACAGTTAAATAAATTGAATGGCATTTGTAAGTTACACCCCCATTAGTCAGTATATTTTAAGGTATAATGGTATACATTTTCTGAAAGCTGAATAAATCTAGGATCGGTAGAGCGTAATTGCTATAATTATACAGCTTCTCATTAATCCCATATAGGCAACTGTCCAATTATTTTCTTCATTGGACAGGTATAATTGTTGATATGGGATTAATTAGGCAGCTACATAATTAATAGGCTCAAGCCAGTTTTACAAAGAGGAGGTAGTACTAATTGACAGGTAAATCTTATTCAGTGGATAAATTTATTGGAATTGCACATCCATTTATCCACCGTATAAGGATTTATCCATTGGATAGCACTATACACCATTCATATGATGGAGCCCAGAAGCTGATTACTAGGAGCATGCTTGATTGCATTCATTTTCATTTGCTAGTTGATTGTTAGCCGAGATGATCTAGAAAAACACAGAACTCAACCAAGAAAACTTTCTGTTCTGAATAATAATCCTGTTAGTGTGTGGCCATTTCCTTGCCGCACAACCCCTACCCTCTGCTCTGTTCTCTCCCCAACTACCACATCAAACATCAGTGTTAACTCATGCTTTAATATAACTACCCTCGAAAATCACTGCTTTTACATAGGGATATTTAACATATTTGAGAAAACTTTCAAACAACAAATGGATTTTTAGTATAATTTAGGCAAAGACAAGCAAAAAATAAAAAAGATTCATCAATATTCATTCTAAAACGTTCCTAAATGTAATAATATTATTTTTTTCTTGAATATTCAACACGACAAGTGCAAGTAAAAAAAGAAATAAGGTCATACATTAATACTAGGCCAGTACTCATGCTACGTATAATTTACATAAAAGCTGCCTTCATGTGTTACTTATGCAAATAAGATCCACATGGCATATTTGTTAACCAATCAGAAATGTTCTATGTAAGGAGTAAGCAATCATTGGACAAGGTTGAGCAAATTATCGTGATTTGTTATTGGTGAGCGAGCAATCTTTTGCTGATGCCAAATCAAATTAAGATATTTTGTGATTACCAAGTTTGAAAATAGTTTTATCATTCAAATTATTTTTTTCCATTTTCTTTTTGCGTTTTGGTTGTTTTTCTACCTAACAAACATACCAAGTCACAGGGAAGTAAGCCATGATAACAAAATATGCAACGTTACTATTATTTGCAGCAAAACGGCTTTGCACTGTAATGTTCAGTTATATCAATTAATCAAATGTAAAAATAATAATTTGAATGATAACAAGAAATATTTGCACACCAACAGTTCAAGGGTAATTACAATGGAATATAATGGTTCTCTTTGTACTATTGGTGTAAAGGGCATATACAAGAACTATACATTGCACACAGAATGGACTGGCTAAGGAAAATCCAACCTAAACACTGTTCTGCTTTTTTACAGATTTTAAGTCTCATCTTCATTGCCAACATCTTGAAGTACAGCTGTCTCTCCTCTATCAGCTTCTACAAACAAAAGACCAAGTTTCCATTAGGAAATTGACATTCCATCGAGTTGCAATATAAACAGAATGTTTCCAGATATCATTAATGTAATTCCTATACATAATAAAGTCATGGAGCAGTTTGGTGTGTAAGTCAGTTTTCTACATGGTGTAGAGATAGGAGCATGGAACATCTTACATCCCTACTGCATTACACTAAAGACACCCCAAGTAGAAGTGATCAATGATTTTGATGGTAATGTCTAAGTAAGCAGTTTTATCAAAATTAGCTTCTAAATGGTTAAGTAGATGACCAAGATAAGACAAGATCACTGAATTAGTTTGAATTGGGGTGTAGGGCTTAGCCTAAATACCAATGCAAAATTTATGAAAATGTCAATCCCTGTCCAAAAAGGTGGACTGGTTATTTTCTAACTATAAGTCTATTCAGTGTTTAGGGAAGCATGGGTGGCGTAGCGGTGAGAGTACTCGCCTCTCACCAATGCGACCCGGGTTTGAGTCCCTACAAGCTCGGTGTTGTATGTGAGTTGAGTTTGTTTGTTGGTTCTCTCCTGTGCTTCAAGGGTTTTCCGGGTTCTCCGGTTTTCCTCCCTCCGCAAAAACCAACTTCTAAATTCCAATTCGATCTTGGGCTTTCACCTAGCATGGATCTGTGAGTTCCGTTCGTGATTGTCCCACTCTGTGATTACAGAGAAAACTGATAGATTTTTAGATTTTAGATTCTTAGATATGTACAGCAGTATATTTTTCTATATTTTGCTTAGCTTCAAAGCTGAATATCTTGTATGATAACTAATTATGCGACTCTGGCTATAATTCTCAAGATGCCTGTGTTCTCAGTGCTGTTTTAGACATTCAAGTATGAGACAATGGGCATATTAGAATTGACTTTGTAAAGTTTGTAGTCATAATTTGAAAAATAGTTAAATGGTCAGTAATACAAGTGTCTGTTATTGAATACGCCCTCTAAGAGGGGAGAGGGTTGAGAATTTAAGTCGATCATTCAAATTATTACCCTATCCTACAAGAAAAGTGCCTCCCCTTATTTTAGTACTAAGAGGCAAAATATTAGACCTTTTCTGGAATTGCCTGAGTTACCACGAAACAATGGTTTCAAGTTGAGATCAGTATCAAGTATGACCACATTTAATGTATTCACATACTTCTATGGCAGGGCTTTTGTACGTTAAACCAACACAATTCAATGTGAAGATTGCTGGTTTTACCAAATAAGGTGTAAAATCTCGTTTCACAGCAAAAAGCCAGTGCATAGAAATATGTGATTACATTAAATGTGGTCAAACTCTTAAGCCTTGTGCTGCAATTTGTTCATACATTTAGCACATTCCTCAACTTGGAACCATCTTTTGTCGTCATTAAAGCCAATTCAGTAAAGGTCTATTGCCAAATAGGAAATAAAGATCAGGCCTTACCTTCTAATAATATTAATTTATATTGCACCATAATCAATATTTATTTTTCTAAGGTGGACTTCAATACCTACCTTCTGATGGATGGTCAGCAGTCCATAGAGTAAGGTTATCTCTAAGAAGCTGCATAATTAATGTGCTGTCTTTGTAGGAATCCTCACTGAGCTTGTCCAACTCAGAAATAGCATTATCAAAAGCTTCTTTTGCTAATTTGCAGGCTTTTTTTGGATCATTCTGGATTTCGTAGTAGAATACTGAGTAATTCAGAGCAAGACCTAGACGGATGGGATTTGTTTTTCCAAGTTTTTCTACAGCTATTTTTTGAGCCTCATCATATGCTTCCATTGAATTGTTTGCTGCTATTTCTTCATTCTTGGGGTCATTCTTGGTGAATTCAGCCACATACCTGTAATAGTCTCCCTTCCTATATGAAGACAAAAGAAATCATTAGAAATCAAGAAAAAAATCATCTGGATCAGTGGATTAATTAAAATATCACAATAAGATGTTTGCATGATGATATCATTGTCCTCTACTACCAGACTCCCTTGCACACTTTCTTTTGTTCAGTTAATTAGCACCAATTGCCTTACTATTCTCATGAGGGAATACAAATTTCAATAAGAAAAAAAAATCGCAAAGCACCTGGGTAGTGGGAGGCAAATGACACAATCATGCAAACATCCCATTCAAGATACATTGGATATCAAAAATTATAACTTAATATGTGGACAGGAGTTTAAGGGATATAAATAGCTGGAAATATCTTAGTAACTGATAATTGGGTTGAAATCTTATAATTAATATACACATAGAATATCTATGATGRTATAGAGTTTATTAAATCATGATTATTTTTAACCAAAATCCAGAAAATAGTTCGATTTTGATGTCAAAAATTCTTAAAACAAATACAATACCATAAAATGGTTAAAACAAAGCTAATATTACCAAATCAATGCTAATTTGAAGTCATCGGAGATAGCACTGCCAAAAGTATGTATGTCTATGAATACATTACAAGTCATCTTTCATTTAACAAAATATATCCTTTTCATATTTCTAAGAAGTTTATGGTGGAATTTTCTTGGAAATTTAGATGTACAAATTTTCAAGAAAATTTGATTATATTATAAGGGAATTTGATGAAATGATCAGATATTTCGTAAGAATATCAGCATCGATAAGGTTCAAGCTATATAATATTGCCTTTTCTCACTGACATGGCAAAGCAGATGAAATCTCAAGTACTTCCTTATTCCAGATGACACAGTGTGAGTTATTTTTGGGCAAATTTTCGTTTCTACAAGCATTTTAAAACCTAGATATCCTGGCTAATATGAGAAATGTGTAATGTCAATGACGAAATTTCCCTTAAAAAGATTAATTCAAAAGGTTGACGAGATTTCATACGGTTTAGGTTGAAATTTTAACTAAACAGGGCCTTCGACAACAGCTGCTTTACCAGTGATCTAGGCTGTACAAAATCAAAAAGCAGGATTTCAGAGTCTCGTTAGGAAAAATTGTTAGTCATTTCGTTAAACTGTTGTAAAACTTGGAGATCGGGATAAAAGTAGAACTTTACCAAACACTCTTTCATAACAATGTACACTTGACAGGGGAGAAAGGTATTATGAAATTTGTCTTAAAATGAATTTTTATCATATTGGTTTTAAAATCAATCAAATTTTGTCTAGTAAATGAAAGAAAAATCACAAAATAAAAGCTTTTAAAAATGTAAAATGAGTAAATATCTGTGAAAAAAACTAAGTTTGAAGTGTTTTAGATTACAAGTATAGGAAGGGGTTGTGGTTTTGAGGGCAAACTCACATTTTGTAAAAGAATACTTTCGATTCGTCCGACGCTGCTGACTCGATTAAATGGTTAGTTAGAAGATCCAAAATTTCTTCACAGATATCGTTTAGTTCCTTCTCGATCTGCAGTCGATATTCTACAATCATTCCAAGTTTGGGATTGTCATCGCCTTTACTTTTTTCCTTTTGCTCAATGCTAGAAATGATTCTCCAAGATGCTCGTCTCGCACCGATGACATTTTTGTAAGCCACAGATAAAAGATTACGCTCTTCTGTCGTGAGATCAACGTTTAACAGAGCAATGTTCTTCATAGCAGCAACCATTTCTGGAGGAGAGAAGAAGAAAGGTGTTAGCCTTTACTTTGCGTCTTGTCAAAACGTAAACACGATGACAACACCACAGAAATGTAGAGATATAATGATTTTTTCCCTCAAAAAACATTACAGAGTGCTTATCCATCCTTAAAATTGTTCAAAGATGTCTTAGGCACCTCTTATAACACATCGCTGCCTTCAAAGAAAGAGAGAACAAGGGCTAAGTGCGTTGCTAGTCGCCTCACTCAAAGTCCACAATATCATGGCGACAGCTAAGCGAAAGCAATTCAAAAAAAACAAAACTGCAGCCAGAAATTCAAACCTTACCATCATATCGTTCAGCCTGTTCGGCCAGCTTGGCCATATAAGTGTTATCTTCTCTGTCGGCCATGGTGATGGCTGAAGAAAAAGGAGATTCAAGAAGATGAAAATTACAAATAATCTACTCCCTCTCGTTCAAAATGGCCGTCAAGACAGGGCGCGGTAAAGCGGCTTGCATACCGGTCCCACATCACGTGACGACTGACGCATGAATTACCATAGTTACCTCAAGAACCAGAGGGGACAACTCAAAAACAACCAATCAAAGACGAGAATTTCTAAAGTAATAGGCGGCAAAAACAGCAATATAAAATAACTGCCAAATAGGTTATAACACCAAGTTTTGAGGAATTGAGAAGATTATTTCCCCTGTTGATACGAAACTTCGAATTTTGATGCCACGGCTTGACCCCTTTTAGATTTTCGACGAAAATTCCACAAAAACGCTGCGTCGCTTTGAACTGTTTATATATTATGGTTGGCGTCCATAAAATGTCTGCTTGTCAAAGGGTTTATATTTGCATAAATCGAAAACACAAACAACGCTACTAAAAAGAAACTATTCGAGAGGAAATAAGCTGTGCTCATAGATCCCTGCTGGACATGAAATACAATTAAAAGTCAAATTATATTAATATTGCGCCGAAATTAACCTTTTGTGCGAAAAGTTTTTACATCCAAGTGGCGTCCTGTAGATATTACTTCCGTTTTAAAAATCCGCACGCGAATCTTTTCTTTTTATAAAATTTTTTGTTTTTGTTTTTAAAGGATTCAAGAATTAAAAACCTGGGAATCTAAGTGTGCCCCTTGCCCAAAGTATATATACATTTTTAAAAGGTGAATAATTTTATTTTTATTTTAGAAAAAAAGAAAACGCCAAACCTGAAACATTTATTTTTATACACGAGCCCGTTGTCTAGACTGTCAGCGTTCTTGCACCTTTAAACGTGCTCTCTTATGTGTTGTTATTTATCGAGTATTGCGCACCAAGATGGCGGCCACGTGGAGGGATTGTAAACCAAGTCTTTGCGCTTTGACACTGAAATCTGTCGAGAAACTTGGTTTTACTTCCATGACTCCCGTACAGGTTTGTGAAGAATTTTATGTAATAACTAATTACGAATTATTTCGTTGTTTTGTGATGGATTTATATTTTATGACGCATTTGTCTAGGTTGTTTACGTCTGCTCTTATTATATCTCCACTATAGGCTGCAGCTATTCCTTTATTCATGTCCAATAAAGATGTTGCTGTAGAGGCTGTAAGTTATATTTTACATCTAAGATTTTCATTGTGGCTGAGCTATTAGATCTATATTTCACACGTATAAAAGATATTTTAGATTAAATACATTGTCGTTTTGTTGAAGGTGACAGGTTCAGGAAAGACTCTTGCTTTTGTGATTCCAATTATAGAAATGTTGATGAGAAGGTAACTATTTAGGTTAAGTAGATAAGATGAATCAAATATTGAAGTGGTAGTGCTGATGGTATAATATATGTGAATGAGGTGAGGTGGTGTTAATGATATCATGATGAGCATAATGATGGTGATGATGATTATAAAGATGATTATGATAATGATGGTGATTATGATGATGATGATGATGCATGATGATGGTGATGATTATGATGATACAAGATGATGATGATAGTGATGATGATGATGATACATGATGATGATGATAGTGATGATGGCAATTATGATGATACATAATATTGATGATGATATTGATGATGGTGATTATAATGATGAATGATAATAATAATGATAAAGTAAATACAGTGCTCTACCTCAGTCTTGTAGGAATTAAAGTTCATGTGAACTAATCTTCTATTTCCAGGGAAGAGAAGTTAAAGAAGCATGATGTAAGTAAGCTCTCCACAAAAACATTTCAGTAAAAGAAACTATTTTGAAAAATTTTTTTGGTTTCACTCCTTTTCAACATATAGATTGGAGCACTTATCATTACACCAACGAGAGAACTTGCAAAACAAATTGAAGAAGTTCTCAGTAATTTTACTGAAGGAAATACGCCAAAACTGAGGTATGAATGAGTCTTGTAATGTCATATCTGTTACATGCAGTTGACTTGAAAAAAAAATTTTATTCCTTATTCTTTTCCTGCACTATTTTTTCAGACAAATGCTTTTTATTGGTGGAGCAGAAACATCAACTGATATAAAGAACTTCAAAGACAATGGGTTAGTTAGTTGATTTTTCAGATAACAGATTATAGCAGTGATGATGATAATGAGGATAGAGATGGTGATGAAGATGATAATGCCGGTGATCCATGATGATGATAGTGATGATGTTGATGTTGATGGTTATGATAATATTTGATGATATTGATGGTGATGATAATAATGATGATGGTAGTGATGATGATGAAGATAAGGATTTGATGATGTTATTTATGCTTGTATGGCCAAATAATGGCAACAATAACTTACACTGAATATAATTGCAGCATGACGTTCATGTTGATAATAAACACACATCATTCCCTTGTGTATGATTTTGTTTGTTTGTCTGTAATAATTGAGATTATACATATTTAATATGGATGAGGTTTATACAAATACTCTTATTCTCAAGGGAATGTCACACAGCTTCAAATGGGAAAAAAGAGGTCAATGGTCTATACGTAGTAACATTACTGATGCCAGGCTTTTAATTTTAAACTATAGTGGTAACATCATAGTTGGAACACCAGGAAGACTGGAGGATCTTTTAACAAGACAGCACCAGCATGGGATAGACTTAGGAGCACATTTAAAATCCTTAGTAAGTAAAGGAAAGGGGGGTGAGGGGAGAGAACAAGGAGGTGGTGAATATGGAGGAGAAGGAAGAGGAGAAGGAGAATGAACATGAGGAGGAGGAGTATGAGGAGGAAAAGGAGAATAAGAAGGGGAAAGAGTACCCCCCCCTGGGGCAAAGGTGAAGAGGGGAGAAGACAGAGAAGGAGATTGAGAAGGAGATCAAGGAGGAGAATGAGAAGAGAGAGGGATAAGAAGAAGAAAAAGGAGGAGGAAGAGAAGGAAGAGGAGGGGAAAAACATGCCTCTGCTTTAAACTAAGTGCAATTGAAGTAATTTACATACAGTAAGCACCATGCATCTGTTTTTTTAGACAAAGAAGCCACTCCAAATGAGTCTGTGACTCTTGCTACGTACATTGTATGCCACCAGCTATATATTACTCACAACTGGTTTATCTTTTAGGAAGTTCTTGTTCTTGATGAAGCTGATCGTCTTCTTGACTTGGGTTTTGAATCCAGGTAATGACAAATATTGGCTGCTGTTTGATGATAGAAATAATTTATAATTTTGAAAATAATATTTGTTCTTGTTGTACGTCATTTTTCTAGTATCAATTCTATCTTAGGATTTCTTCCAAAACAAAGACGAACGGTAAGTCACAATAATCATAGAATCAAATTATTTTGCTACATTTAAACTAATAAAGCATGGATATTGCAAGATGTAAGCATAACAGGCATAGAAGCGAGCACAAAAATCATCAAGTGGACTTTTTGTTGTCCTTTCTTTTATTAATTATAATATATAAAATAATTTGTTATACCTGTGTTTTAGGGATTGTTCTCCGCAACTCAGACAAATGAGGTGGAAGCCTTGGTAAGAGCAGGGCTCAGAAACCCAGTAAGGGTAACCGTTACAGAGAAACAGACCAAAAAGAAGGTATCAAAATCATTATCTCTTTGATTTGATAGACGTTCTTTAGAGCATGTCATTATGACGTAAATGTCAGTTGGACATTGAACTTTGTTACCATTTTTTGTCATCTGCAGTCAAAAATATGAAAGGTTATATTTTATTTTTTAAAGTAATCAGTCAATATGTTAGTAGTAACATACTAGTTGCAATAGTTATATCCCATTCTTGCCATTATCATCAGCATCATTTTGTTAATTTATTGTTAATCATACCRTTATTATGGTCATTATTCATTATCATATTGTTACTAACAAGTCTTCATCAGTTTTCATACAACAAATTGAAATGTGGTGACCAATTTGAATAACTATTGTTCTGGAATGACTAGCGACTGACTACCCTCGTGTTAACATGAAAACATGAAAGCTTTAAATCTTTTACATGTAAGAGAGGCTAGTCAGTCCAGAACAATAGTTATTCAAATTGTTCACCATATTTCAATATATTCGGTAATAGAGATAGCGGTGATGAATGGAGGTGACAAAAATATGTATCCTCTTGACAATGTGGTTTAATTGCTATTACATTGTTATAATAATTGTGCAATTTTTTTACCACTTCAGACTTCTCAAAGAACCCCATCATCCCTAAACAACTTTTACTTGGTAAGAAATATTTCTAATCTAAACCCTTCATCAGTAGCTTTATTGTAGAAGATTTATTTTGACTGCAAATGAATAACTGCCGCTAAGGAATGGTGTCTATTATTTTCTATTCAATTTTTTTTATTTCAGATCTGTGAAAGTGAAGAAAAGTTTTCTCAGCTAATTGGCTTCCTTAGAGCAAGAAAGGTATATTTCCTTTACCTGCAGCCATAACTTATTTTTAAAGGAATACAAAACATCTTTGTTAAAAAAGGTAGTACTCAGGCATTCTTCATGATTTAAAACAAGAACCACCCTAGGGTGTTCAATTAATTTTAAAAAATTTTAATTTTAAAACCTACCTTTAGCCATTCTCAGTAATAAGCTGGTTTTATTGACAGTAGTAGTATAGGGAATGGGGGTTCCAGCGCAATCTCAACACGGGCAAGA